ACAACAATAACAGCTTTTACTGTGCCTGCTGTGCTGGGGTTACCTGGCACTTGGCAAGACATGCATCACCACAGGACACACATTTTTTAGAACCAAACACACTATCCACCTGTCAGTCCCAGCATCTGGACAGTTTGTATTGCCTGGGTTTGTTGCCCAAAAATATTAAAGAAAGGATTGCAGTGAAGGCCTTCTAACAGATTGAAAGCTGAATAAGGAGCAAGAAGCAAGCACTGTTAAACACAGTCCCTTTTTAAGATAAGGACAAGTGTGGACCACTTCTGGACTAGTTTTGTTCAACACCTTCATCAATCACAGTGAAAATTCCAAGTTTCCAAGTGGACAAGTATCCAAGCTAATTCTTACTAAGTAACTGCTGTATCTCTCCCTTCTAAGCAACTTCTGTATCATCCCCAAGCCTCAAGCTGTCGATTCATAATTCCTATAATGAAGAGTTAGCAACAAAAACCTTCCCATGAGGCTGACGTTTCAGTTCCTGTGAGCCTAAGATGTCTTTTATGTCCACCATTGATATGTGGCTGATTATGTTAAAAAAGAGAAATAAAAAATAGTGAAGGATTTTGTACAGTTTTATCACTTTAAAGGAGCAGGAACATTAAAGACTAGGAAAGTAAATCCCAAGGTCAAAAGCACTTTGACTTCGTACAGTCAATGCTATTTTCATCCACAGTATTTCTGTTAAGAGTGTACTTCATGTGATACTGCAGGAGTGATGTAGATGTTCTTCATACCCTTGAAAATTCTCCTCTGCACTGCTTGGAAAATGATCAGGTACCTTACTGGATGGATGGAATCAGGAACCACATCAAAGTCAGGATGTATTTCAGGAAGCAGACAGATTTTATCCAGCAGCAATGTGCCAAAGTCCTTCAGAGGCCACAGTAGAAGTGTGATAAAAGATTTCTCCCCTTATTTTTTAATAGTCTGGGGAAAGTATTATGAGCCCAGATGCCTAAGAGGAAAAAAAAAAATGAACTTCCTTAACAAAACCCATTGCTTTAGTGTTCAAAACCTGGTGGCTTCAGTAAGGAAGATCTCAATTATGATTTAACTCACAGATGTTCCATATTTTCTCTTACATCTCAAAACATACACTTAAAAACCTGCCATCAAAAACTTATGCTATAACATGGAGGGAGAACCTGAAGGACAGCCCAAATGTGTGATGGACATATCTGACCTGTGTCTGCCACCTCTGTGCGGGAGGAAGCAGAGCACAACATCTAATCAGAGGACAGATACCTTGAATCTTGTATGCAACATCCCAGGGATCAGCTGTGATCCTTGGAAATAACTGTTCAGCATGCCATAATAGATAGCTGTGATATATAGCTGTCACTGTTGTTTTTCCCAAATGCCAATCAAAGAAATCATACAATTCATAGGAATCTGGGGAATAATTGCATCTGTCTGTGAGACAGACTGGACTGACTGTAACATGTTTTCTTCCCTGTATCTTCCCTGTATTTGCAAATTAATATCAGTAGGGAGATCCAAAATTCAAGATCGAGCAGTGCTCTAAAAACTAAAAAAAAACCCCCAAAAACCCAAAACACCAAAACCACCAAAAACAAAACACCCGCCCACCACAAAAAATTCAAAATCATTGCCTGAGCTGCTGCTTAAAGCCAGGCAGGCTGCCAGTTCCTACAGAAAAGGAGATTAAGAGATGAGAGAATTACCAAGTTCAAAGGTAGAATGCAACTGCAAAACACTGAGCCTGATTCACTGCCTGTGGGTAAGCCCTGTGTGAAAACCAGGGAGTCAACCAGCTTCTAGTAGAGACTTTAAGTATTTGACTGTATAAAACTAACAGGGGTTTTTGTCTACATGTTTCTGTGCCTGTTCCAGTGTACTGCAATAACTGTTCTCAGGTTTAGTGGCAGTATGAAATACTCAGTGTTTCCTTCCAATGAAAAAATATGTTCATACCAAGAGTGATATCATCACCTGATGCAAAGCTTTGGAACCTCTTACTCTGCCCCAAGTTGCTTCCCAGATTATTTTTTAATTGATATTTGTAACTTTTATCTGGATCAGCCATGACATTTCCATACTCCATGGGAAAGTCAGTGTTTTCACTCATGCCATTTCACTTACCTTTTTTGCCCCTCCTTTCTCTCTGCAATGGTCCAAACTCACCATTCCCATGTTGTTTGCATTGTCCTTTCTGAGCAGTCATCCTCATCAGGTGTGGACCTTTCCTTCTTGACTCTGGGTATCTCCCTGGTACAGTACAGACCACCTGAACTGTGTCACGAGTCTGTTGCCCATCTGGTAACTGCCCTAAGGGCAGAGCCAGCCCGCGTGGAGGAGGGGCTCACACTCCCCACTGGATGTGTCCCCAGTTGAACTGGGGTGGAAGATGTAATTTGCTGAGATTTGAGGAGATACACATAGCAGAGCAAGTCATACTTGGAAATTAAAGTTTAATGATCACCCTCTCAGCAGCAATAAGAACACAATAGACATTACATGAAGAGGTGCAAAGTGTGCAAAGTTTCAAATGGACCATAGGATGACCAGAGTAGAGGATGAAAATGCTGGGACTGACATGCTCTGCCCTAGACATAAGGGACTGAATTCTCCTGAGCTGAATCCCTTGGACGAACTTTTGTTAATGTTTCTTTGAAGGCAATTTGACAGTTCAGAGGAAGAGGACAAAATAGAGGGTGACCACCAAAGTTTGTGAAAGGAGAGGGCACTCAAGAGTGTAAAAAGGAAAGTTCCCAGAAGCCAGGATATCTTTAAATTGCAAATGCCATGAGCAGATATTCTCAGTAGCAGATTACTACCACAGTCCATACATTAGCTTTTTTCTGTGATCTGCCACATCTGACATGGTTTGTCAACAGTGTGGGTTATTGCTGCAGGCCATATTTGCTGCGAGGCCTGTCTGTCCAGGACTTACAGAGTGGCAAACTGAGAAATCAAAGGCAGGCATAAATGCAGATTCAATCTTTCTTTTTTCTTCTAAAGAGTATTTTGTACAATAACATGAAGCACTTCAGGGCCAACCTCTCAGCCTCAGATGTCCATGTGTTTTAAAGCAGCTGACCTCCACTGGCACAGCCTCCACACAGCACATCTCCAGGGTCAGCACATCCACCAGAGCTCTGTATTGCACATGACATACAGGACTTGATAGCAAGGAGTTTCTTCTGGCCTGACATGACATGAATCACTGTGATTAATATGAAGGAGCTGGGGACACATCAGGAAAAAAGAGCTTTGTGAGTACAGTGGCCTGGTGAATGGGCAATTCCACATGAGAAGTGGGCAGGTAGGTGCCAGTTGTCAGTTCTGTGAATATATAATGGCTGGCTGCAACCCAGTACATTTTTACAATTTTTTAAAAATCCAAAACATTAGCCTAAAAAAAGCTGACAGATTGACTCAAAATGGTGGGGGTTTTATTTATGTTTTCACTTTTGCATTGGTATCAGAACAATATAAATTTATTTACACAATTATAATTTTAATATCTGATTTTTAAATGTGAAAGTAAAAATCATCCATCTCTGCAGTTCTCTTATCATCACACTTTCAAAAATCTGTCTGTTTCTGGTCTGTTCTGGTCTGCCCTTTCCATTCCTTTCCTTCAAATGAGAAAATGACAGTATTTTCCTTCCTTGTTCTTTCAGTAGAGAATTATAAAAACTACCAAAATGTAAGTACATATTTCCATGCCTATATATGTGGCCAAAATACTTCCTTGCTGAGTTCAAAGTCTTCAGAAAATGTCACTGCACTCAAGATGGCATACACAGGACCTAACTAAAATGGTTTCAAAGCCCATGCTTGTATTATATTCATATTTCAAAATTATGCAGTCACTTCACTGTATCATTGACAGCATTAGACTTTTCTTTGTGTTTTCTAATGACACTCTGTGACATGGAGCAAAAATATTTGTTTAATTGCTTGAAAAAACATTTTTAAGTTTTCAACTGAAACAACATGCAGTGCAGGAGTTTATAAAACCAAGCTTCCTTGTATGATCAATGTATTAGTGATATTATTGATTTCTGTATAAATTATTTCTAGTGGAAATTTTATACTCATCTTTCTTGTTCTAATTAATTCAATAGTCACCTGATATCAAATTGGTTCTCTAGTGATTATTTCTTTCTCTATAGGGTTTATGAGATGAGCTTGATGATTTGATATGATTTTCTAACCCACATTAAACAGACTATGAAATTTAAGAGTATCACTGAATGAGCCAGCCAAGTTTTAAACAATTCTTAAATCTCACTAACATTTGAATTGACTGCATTGATAAGCACAGATAAGACATACTGCATCAGGATTCTTAGGAAAATGGTATAGAATACATACATTTTATATATATATATATATATATATATATATGTATATATATATATAATTTTTCTGTAAGTATAATTTTTATATGTATATATCTATATCTCTATTTGCATACATAATATGAATATATATTTTTAGGAGGGTTGGGGTATTTCATTACTTGAAGACTTGCATTTTAGTAGATTTTCTCCAATGATGGGATGAAGAGATGAGTTCAGCAATTGTATTCCTTTGTTGAGGGATTTTGTGGATCTTATCCTGTGACTAAAAGTCAGAGAGAAAATATCAGAAGATGTACCTCAAAGGCCATTCCCTCCTGAACCCATTGGCAGTGTGGGATACATGAAGCCTGTATGAAAATATCAAGACATCCCAGGCAATTTCTTCCTCCTCACAAGAGGTGGCCCTGGAAAAGACCCCTCTCCAAATGCTACAGATCTCCACTTAATGGTGCTTCCTGGAATTATCTCTGTCCTGTCCAGCCTGGTTTCCTGCAGCAGCTTTTAAGGAGCAGTACACAATTCTGTGCTGTGTTAATCACCTTTGGCTGGCCAAGAAACTGCAGACCTTACAGCATTCATCCATGACTCTGTCTCTGCCAGGTTTGTCTGCTGTACTGGAACTGTTTTAGGTCATTTGCTGAGCAGTGCTGCTGATGGAGGGAACAGCAAAAGCCTTCTTGCAACATTACCTCAAATAGGTATGTGTTTTTTCTGTGATCTCTCTCATGTGTGCTTATACTGCTAAGAAAATTAAGTTCCCTTCTATACAGAAAAGTGGTATAGTGACTCTTGGTATTGCATGATTTCTGTGGTGGCTCTGGCTTTCAGTGCTAATCAACTGTCTAGAATAACAAACAAGTTCCGATTTAGATGAGCAGGGGTTTGCACACATTGCATCAAATTATAGGCAAAAAAGATTATGACTAGCTAATATGCTTTACAGTGAAAATGTTTGCTGATGCCAGTGTGTGGGAAAGTAAACTCAGTGTACTTGGAGGCTTAGAAGTGAGTCACTTCATTTATTAGCAGAAATAAGCACCCAGAAACTGTCTGACTACTAAGCTGCTTTGATTTTCTTTTACTTGCAAATATTCTTCCAGCCAGGCCTAGAAAATTTTTGACGTACAAAGTGTACAGAAAAAGAGAAGTATAAACAAGGTATAGCATGGTTCTTCCTGGATCTTTGCATATACCTATGTCTGCAGAATTTGGCTGCTTTTCAGAATTTGTCTTTCCAGCAGGGCTTGATCCTATCAAATCTTTGAAAGGGGCAGAGTTCCTGAGGTCACAGGCTGACCCAAAACTGGCATAAATTGGGCCATTTCCTGACATTTCATGCTCCCAGCTCCTACCTCACAATCACTCACAGGCTGAGTGCCAGGGGCCAGGGCACAAGCAGCTGGGTAGCTGTGGCTCTATTACTTTTTCAACCTTTCATTTTTGCAGTGAGATTGAACCCCAGCAACAGCCCTGATTCCTGTTTACTGGCATTGCCCTCTGCTGGGCCAGGGCAAGCTGGGGTCCCTGCACAAGGAGCCAGAAACAGCATTGCTCCCCACTCATTGCTGGCCATCAGCTCCCTTGCCATCTTGATGGTCCTTGTCTGAAAAATGATTTCTAATGGCACCAGGGATTTCTAAAGCAGGGCTGCCTTTCATTGTAGGAAAGGTTCTTTAGATCTTGACACTTCTTTCTTCCACTCACTGGAAAAAAAGCAGGGAAAACCCAGGCACTTCACAGCCTGCCATGCCCCCTGTGATTCATAAAATCATTAAGGTTCGAAAAGATCTCTAGGATCACCAAGTCCAACCTTTGACCAAACACCACAACATCAACTAAAAAAAAGCATTGAGAGCCACATCCAGTTGTTTCTTGAACACTTCCAGGGATGATGATTCTGTCACCTCCCTGAAGATCCCATCCAATTATTAACCTCCCTTTCGGTGAAAAAATTCTTCCTGATGTCAAACATGAACCTCCCCTGGCACAGCTTGAGGTCATCCTCTTGTCCCATCATTGGTTGCCTGGGAGATGAGGCTGACCCCATGTGGCTACACCCTCCTTTCAGGCAGTTGTAGAGAGCAATAAGGTTCCTTGAGCCTCCCTTTCACCAGGCTAAACACTCCCAGCTCCCTCAGCTTCTCTTCATGTAACTCAGTCTCTAGACCATCCACCAGCTTCACTGCCCATCTCTGGACATGCTCCAGCACCTCAATGTCTTTTTGGGATGAGAGGCCCATAACTAGACCCATGCTGCTTAAGCAGCAGCACTGAGTGCAGAGGGACAAGCATTTCCTTGGTCCTGCTGGCCACACTATTTTTTAGATAGTCTGGGATGCCACTGGCCTTCTTGGCCCCTTGTGCACACCTCTGGCTGAATATGAGAAGTTTTGCTCATTTCATTTCAGAGGTTGCAGGGCCGAAACTGCATCCATGTCTCATGGGTCTGGAAATTCTAGTAGATAAAGTAGATAAAGTCTTCTGGTAGCCAGCTGCCACCACAGCCCTTTCAGTGCACTTCACACTAGCCAGGGCAGACTCCATCTAGGAAACTCTGGCTTAAATGGGTGAATGGGTGGCACAGCTGTTTAAAATGCTTTCTTGCATATTGTGTGTTAACATGTTTCTGTGAAAAGGCCTGAGAGAAAGGGCAGCAGGGTGGAAGGCTGCTCTTCATCCTGATGGTCCCCTCCTGTTCTGAGGAAACCTGTAGAGGAAGAGGAGACTGTGCCATCCCTTGGGGCCACGCAGCCAGCTAGGGGATGGAGGTGTTTCCCAGACACCTGCAGGCAGGGCATGGGGCATAAAGGCTGAGGAGAATGCAAAAAATCCTGCAAGGAAGCCAAATATTGAGAAAAATAGGATTCTGCACTACAAGAAACCACTGAAAAGTCATTAGATGGAGAGTGAGATGCTGTCAGACCCAGCTTCTCTTGCCCACTTGTTTGAGGCTGAGTATTTCCTCAAGTGGAGAACTAAGTCAAATGCTGTCTGTCACTTTAAGTTTGGGCACTCAAATGCTCAGGCTGATAACTCCTGTCCTGGATGCATAAAAGTCTTCCTTCCTTTCACTGTGGATGAACATAAACTTGCAGGAAACAAAAATGAAAAATTACCTGAGACCAATGGGTAAAAAATGAATTTGAAATTATAGAAATTATCAATAAGTACTTAATGGGTCTGAAGAATAATACCGCTACAAAAGGAAACAGGAAATATATAAATAAAATTATATGCCCGTAGTCATGATAAAACCTATGTATTCACTAAATGGTCATAGGCACTTTTTAGCTTCAGGTGTTTTCAGAGACCTTATATAATAATAGTTTTATATTTATGATCTGTGGCACTATCTCTAGCTGCCCAGGCTGGTTCTCCAGACTTGCCTGCATAAGTTGTGGCTGTATCAGTTCTAATATAAATATGGCCAGCCTGGGTAAGTGACTGAATGAAGGAGGCCTGGATCCTTCAAAAAAGCAGCAGGTAGCATTCTTCCTTCTCTGTCAGTCTGATGTGGCACCTTAGGATAGTTTAGGAACATCATGTTACTGTCCCTTTAGTTTTACAAAACAAGAAGAGATACTTCAGGCACTGTAGAAATTTGGGCTTATCTGTCTGTGATTTCTTACCATATATACCTTTGGTATATGAAAGGATCATTAGGCTCAACTTCCCATTTTGTCTTTGCATGACTGTGTCCTATTGTAGTAAAATGCCCCCTGCAATTTCACCTGGTCATGGTAATCTGCTGTTCATCTGAGTATGAACTGTAATCAACCTCCAGGAGTTGTACTAATAAACTCTATTTCAGATATGGCTAAAGTGATTTTTCTTGCACATATGTACATTGCAACTTGCATTTGGCCTTGTCTAATCTAGAACATTTAGACTGTTAAAATATTTCACACAGACCAATTGAGCTATGGGGTCTTTTAGTACTTCACTTAAAACAATACTGTGGGTGGACAGAAGTAATTTCTTGAAATACAAGACACATGCTACTGTATGATCATTACAGTTTCCAGCCTGTTTCGCACCATTTGCCAGGTGTTAGCTGTAACCTGCCCCATTTTACTGGAGCAGTTTACTGCACAGAGCAACACAATTAAGTCCATTACAATACTCTTTGCAAACATTGGTGCTGATAGAGCTGATTAGAGCATTTGCAGTTCTGCTTTACTGTATTATTGACTGAAATTTCAAGGTGAGCTTTAATAGGGGAAAATTAATCACTCACTAAACAAGTGTGTACTCTGTCCCAAGCATGAGCCATAAGACTCCAAGTAGTCCAGCAATGTCCAAACCAACCCAATGACTGTTCTGAAGGACAACCTGCCTATATATCTATGGTGCTTTGACCTCTTACTGGAGGCCAGGGCCTCACCAAAGCTACTCTATCACTCCCGTCCACAACTGAACAGGGGAGAGAAAATATAACAAAAGGCTCTTAAGTTGAGATGAGAACAGGAAAAGATCACCCACCAGTGGCCATCATGAGCAAAACAGACTTCACTTGCAAAGTAAGTTGAATTCATTGCTAATCAAAATCAGAGTATGATAATGAAAAGTAAAACAGGTCCTTCTCCCCCTGACTTTCTCCTTCCTGGGCTTAACTTTTATTCCTAATTCTCTACCCCTCCCCTCCAGCACTGCAGGGAGATATAGAATGGGGTTTACAGTCAGTTCATCACCTTGGTTTCATCTCTGCCTCCTCTGCTGGGAGAGGAGTTCTTGTCCTCCTCCAGTCTGGGGAAGGGGGTGCTTACCACAGGACAGTCCTCCATGAAACTCTCCAACATGAGTCCCTCCCACATGCACCAGTTCTTCTTGACCTGCTTCAGTGTGGGTCCATTCCATGGGCTGCAGTCCTTCAGGAACAGGCTGCTCCAGTGTGGGTCCATTCCATGGGCTTCAGTCCTTCAGGAACAGGCTGCTCCAGCATGGGCCCCCCATGGGGTCACAAGTCCTGCCAGCAAACCTGCTCCCCATGTGCTCCCCAGAGGGTCACAGCCCTTTGGGCATCCACCTGCTCCAGTGTGGGACTCCTCCATGGGCTGCAGGGGCACAGGTGCCTCACCATGTCCTTCATCACGTGTCACAGTGGAAGCTCAGCTCTGGTGCCTGAAGCACTTCCTTCCCCTCCTTCTCCACTGACGTTGGTGTCTGCAGAATTAGTTGTGTCCCATATTCTCACTCCTCTATTCTCTGGCTACAATGGCTTCTGTGCAAAACCTGTTTTTTTTCTTAAATATGTTATCGACGAGGTGCTGCCACTATGGCTGATGGGCTCAGCCTTGGCCAGCTCCAGGTCTGTCCTGGGGCCAGCTGGAATTGGCTCTGTCAGACATGGAGGAAGCTTTTAGCAGACTCTCAAAGAAGCCACCCCTGTATTCTGTCGCCCTCTCCCCCCACTGCCACCAAACCCAGCCACACAAATCCAATGCAGTATCATAAAACATCTATATACATACATACATATACAATTTGGAAAACTAAATCTCTTGCTCATAGGAAAATTTAGTATTTTCATTACAAGCAGTAGTTAAAGTTTTGAATTACTGTACAAAGATGCTTAAAGTCATAGAGTTTTGATTCCAGAAAGGGGTTGGAGCAGACTAAACAAAAGTTTAGTTGAGCATTTAGAGAAAAGGCAGAGCTAACAGACCACCTGGACTTCTTCATATCCTAACACTTCATA